AGCTGGGATTAGAGGCCTGCATCATGATGCCCAGATAATTTTTGTATTTTTAGTAGAGACAGTTTTTGTCATGTTGGCCAAGCTGGTCTTGAACTCCTGGCCTCAAGTGATCCACCCACCTTGGCCTCCCAAAGTGCTGGGATTAGAGGCATAAGCCACCGCACCCAGCCTCTAGAGTAGGAATTTTTTAAATCCCCCAGGATTTGAGAACCACAGCTCCACCCACTATTTCTAAAACTTGCCTAACAGAAATATTTTAAAAACAGATTCTTTGGCTGGGCACAATGACTCATACCTGTAATCTCAGCACTTTGGGAGGCTGAGGAAGATCTATTGAGCCCGGGAGTTCGAGACCAGCCTGGGCAACATAGGGAGACCCTGACTCTACAGGAAAATTAGCAGGCAAGGTGGCACGCTCCTGTAGTCCCAGCTACTTGGGAGGTTGAGGTGGGAGGATCACTTGGGCCTGGGAGGTCAAAGCTACAGTGAACCGAGATTGTACCACTGTACTCCTGGGTGACTGAGCAAGACCCTGTCTCAACAACAATGACAAAATAGATTCATGCACGCCAACAGATAGATAATTCCATGTGCCCCCCCCCCAAAACCTGTAGCAGTCACATATTCCTCCAGATGAATCCTAATATCAATGATTAGCAGCAAAAGGATGAGATGAGAGCCCAGCTCTCAGGTGTGGAGAACTGCTCAGCAGTTTCCCATCAGGTTAAACATTCACTTACCAAAACCTAGCCATCCCCATTCTTGAGTATTCCCAATACAAATAAGTGCTTATGGCCAGGGGCGGTGGCTCATGCCTATAATCCCAGCCCTTTGGGTGGATCCACCCAAGGAGGGTGGATCACGAGGTCAGGAGATCGAGACCATCCTGGCCAACATGGTGAAACTCTGTTTCTACTAAAAAAAAATGTATATATACAAAAATTACCTGGGCATGGTGGCACATGCTTGTAGTCCCAGCTACTCAGGAAGCTGAGACAGGAGAATCACTTGAACCAGGAAGTCGGAGGTCACGGTGAGCCAAGATTGTACCATTGCACTCCAACCTGGGCTAGAGGGAGACTCTGTCACAAAAAAAGAAAAAGAAATAAGTGCTTATGTGCACCAAAGACAAGCATGAAGATATTCATAGCTTTATTCATAATGTCCCCCGAACTGAAAACATCCTGAATGTCTATCCATGGGAACATGCACAGATAAATTGTAGTATTTCCAGGCAAGGGACTACCAGGCCACAGTGAAAAAGAATGAAGTACTGATACATACAGCAGCGGTGTGGATTGATGAATTTCACAGACATACTGTTGAATGAGAAGAGCCAGGCATGCTTGTAGCGAATTCCACTCACCCATGGTGATGGAGATCAAAATAGTGGTTACCTCTGGATATGTGTGTATAAATTCTGCTCCCTAAAAAGATGCAGGGAAAACTTCCCAGGATGGCAGTCAGAGCCACAAAGCAAGACTTACCTGTATGAGAGGCTCACCTGAGAGGCCTTTTCTTGCTTGCTTGCTTGTTTGTTCATTTGTTTATTTGAGATAAACACTATACATTGAGGTGTACACAATGCAGTGAAAAAGAGTACAGCCCAATGAATGTTTACAAGTTTACACTTAGTGTTGAACTTCATGCAAAGTGTTGTTCTAGGCCCCTGGAAAGGGAAACCAAGGTTATAAGACCCTGTCGGTATGGATTTCATAATCTGGTGAAGGAGATATTACAATACAAAGCGGAATGATGGCTTTTCATCCATTCACCCATGGGGTGATTTTGAGCCCTGGCTCTATGCCAGGCACTGAACTAGACATGGGAAATGGAGTAGCAACCAAGATCCCACCTTACCCTGAGGATTTTGGAGAGGAGCACAATTAACTGATTCTATCTCCTAAGCATTTTCCAAATTCAATCTCTTGCCTCCCACCGACCCTATCTTAGGCCACTGCCCTCTTTCCTCTGAGAGCTTTCTCAGTCCTCGCCTCTGATTCATTCTCCAGATCAGCAGCGCCTACCTAAGTGCTCAGCTGAAAAAAATTCAAAATTGATGACTGCCCCTGGCCCAGGCAGCTCCGGTGCTGGCCTGGGAGGCTCAAATCTTCACCTGCAGGGTCTATAATTGTGACCACAGGGAAGTTCCTGATATGTCCTGAGCCTCGTTTGCGTCTTCTGTAAAATGCAGATGAAATAGTATTAACAACAACCACAGCTGTCTCCCTGAAGAGGCTGGGCTTGCACTATCCACACTCCTCCTCCCAGTGCCTCTCAGTGCTGGTCACTCCCACCTCTCTGCATTACCCAGTGAGAGAAAGCTGCTTCTGTTCACGAACACACTCTTTGGTTTCAAGGCCTGAGACTCTATAATTGGTGACCCCATTTGACGAGTCTTTCCCTCCACCTTCTCTGGCTGGGTCTTACTCAGCTTCAGGTACAGCCTAGGCATTGCCTCCTCCAGGAGCCTTCCCTGAAGCTGCCTACAGGGTTGGGTGCCCCTGTGTGGGCCCCCACAACACCCTGGACTGAATTTGTCTGTCTCCTGTTTCTGTTTGTCTCCCCTTGCTTGAAAGTGGGCTCCTGCCAGCTGGGCAGCCTCTGAATCTCTGAATGAAACTTTTCTTTGCACCCCCACTGCGGACCCCTCCAGTCCAGTGCAGGTACTGGACGAGTCTACTAACCTGAGCAGAATATGCCCAGCATTTTAAGGGAGGTGGCCTTGAGGCATGGGTGGGACATCAAAAAATTATCTTAAAACAAATTGTACATGCACACAATACACAATTCAGCAGAAACAAAAGGGGTTGCAATGAAAATTAAAAGTAGGTCACCTCTCAACCACCAAGAACCCCTCCTCAGAGGCCACCTTTCATATCAGTTTCTGAGTATTCGATGCAGGCCAGAATTGTCAGTCCTCCCTCCCCTTTTTATTTTGCAAAAATTTAAAGCAACAGAAAAGTTGCAAGAATACCAATTAACATTTTACCACAGTATGCTAATTTACAAGTGTTATCACTTAATGTTCACATTAATTAATTAATGCCAATTTTGTAAATGAGGTCACTCAGGCATCGGGCAGGTTAAGGGAGTCGCCCGAGGCCACAGAGCTCCTGCCGTGGAGCTGGGCTTTCCCCCTTAGGCTGCTGAGGAACTTTGATCTGCTTTCCCACAGCTCCCTTTGGAGGAAAAGCATTTTCTTACACTGAGTTGAAATCCACCTCCCTGGGATATTTACCAGATGATCGGTGGAAAAGTACACAGCTCTGGAAGCATTTGCTACTTCTCCTCCCAAAACCTCCCCATTCCCTGAGCAACAGCTGCTGTGGCTGCCACTACCACATGCTCCAATGTCACCTCCTCCGTGAAGGCTGGGTTTGCTCACTCCCCAGTTTAAAGACTCACCATGACTCCCAGCTGCCAGTGGGATGACATGTGCACACCGGGGCTTGGAATACAAGGCCTGGGTGACCGAGCCCTCCTCCAATGCCTCTTACACCTTCTTCCCCTGTCTCCATCTCCAGCCACACTCAACCTTCTCTCACTGTCCACTTAAACGTCCCCTCCTCCTTGAAGCCAACCTAAGTTTTCTAAAGAGCGCATCTCTCCCCTCTCTGGGCTCCTGCAACCTTCTGCCTGAGCCTTTGACAGCTTTTTCCAGGTTGTCTTTTGGCCAGGTGGCTGGACAGTGGAGGACGGGAGTGACAGCTCTGCCCCTTCCTAGCAGAGTGATCCTGCACAAATTACTCCAGGTGTCTGACCCTTCATTTCCTCAAGCACATCATGGGGGAAAGAATGCCTAGCTCAGTACCTGGCAGAGAGTCAGCCTTGGCTGATCTCCCATAATGGAGCTGACAGCTCTTCAAGTCCGCTGACGTCTTCTCTTAGTCAACCCTTGAAACACTACCCGCTATTACTTCTCTGCTCCTCAGTCTCCTCCTGTGTAAAATGGGGATGAGAATGGAGAGGTTGTGAAACTTTCATGAGCGAGCCCTTGGAGCCGTATCCAGCCCTTCCCGACGCTAAAATGACTCCTACTAGAGGGCCTGGTACACATTAGGTGCTAAACTAATCCTCTCCGAGCTGGGCTTGGGGAAGATGCCTCAGTCGGATGTGCAGCGTGGGCGCGGGAAGGCGAGCCTGGGAGCGAGGGGCTTGCCGAGAGTCAGCCAGAGGTCGGCTCCGCCTTCCCCCGCGGCCCCCACCCGAACCCTGCAGCTGTCAGCCGGGCTGGCCTCGGCGCCAGTCCACCAAACCTGAACGTCCCAAGCCGGCGCCCCCACCTTCCCGGAGTGCACAACTTACCTTGCGCTCGGCCGCTCTCTGTCCCGCCCCCAATTTCCATTGGCCCAGGGGTTCCTTTGTTAGCGGGAGTGCGCTGCCTCCATTGGTCGGTGGAGCTGCCAATCGCGTCGGGCACGGCCCCGCCCCATACGCCCCAGCACCTCCCCCCGCCCGCCCGCCCGCCCCGCCCGGAGTGCGTGAGGCGCTCCGCTCCCAACTGCAGCGGCCGCGGGGCGCCGAGGGCAGCGGCGGCGGCGCGGACTAGCCGGGCCGGCGGCGACCGGCGCCTGAGAGGCGGGCCGCAGCGGGAGGCAGCGGGCCCGAGGCCGCGTCCATGGGCCCGCGGCGGCCGGGCGGCGGCGGTGCGGGCGGGCGCGGGGCGTCGCGCGCGCTGTGAGGCCCGGGCGGCGTAGGAGCCTCGGCGCGTGCAGCGAGCCGCCGGCCGGGTAGGAGGCCGGGCCGGACTTGCGGCGGGGCCGGCGAGGGATGCGGCGGCGGCCGCGCTGAGCCCCGAGCCCGCCGGGAGCGCCAGGCCGGCCGGGCCTGCGCCGCCGCCGCCGCCGCCGCCGCGCCGACCATGTCGGCGGCCAAGGAGAACCCGTGCAGGAAATTCCAGGCTAACATCTTCAACAAGAGCAAGTGTCAGAACTGCTTCAAGCCCCGCGAGTCGCATCTGCTCAATGACGAGGACCTGACGCAGGTGAGTGGCCGGGGCCGGCCCGACATCTCTGTCCCGGGAGCCGCGAGCAGGCGCGGCCCAGGCCCGGGCGGGCCGGGGGCGGGGGCGCCGCCGAGGACTGCGGGGAAAATAAAAATGGAGCAGGGAAATGCGCGAGTCCTGGGGCATGGGGATGGGGACGGGAAGTGCATTGACAGAGCCTAGACAAAGGAAAAATCCTCGAGTATGCCGAAAAATAACATCTTTTCCTGTTCCCATTGCCCGGCTGTGTGTGATTGATGCTTTTTGGGTGACTCAAAAGTGACTGGTTTCACTTAGTGGAAACAAAGCGCTTGGGGATTGGATGCCGTTTGACGGGACCCCTCTCAGAGACTTGCTTGGGACGGGACTTGGACTTGTCCAGCCATAGTGGCCTCAGGGGGCGGATTGTTGGGGGAGACTTTGGGCTTCCGTCTAGTGGGACCCAGCCTGCCCCTATTCGGAATCATCATCACCGTCGAGGACTAGATAGAGGCGAAGGGTGTCCGAGTCTGGCGAGGAGGGTCTTGGTCTTGAACTCAGGCTGGGAGGCTGTAGTTGAGGGGAGAGCTGGGACCAGTTCCCTGGTCACTGGCCGAGGGGTGAGGAGACCTGTGGGTCCTCGGGAAAGTTGGTTTCTGTCTCCAGCCTTCTCTGTCAAACAGGGCTTTGAACTAATTGTAGCTCCCAAACCTGCATTACAGTCATAACCATTAAACAGTGTTCTGGCCCCACCCCCCACCCTTGAGTGATTTGAGAGATGGGGAATTTGTATTGCCAAAAGGCCCCAAGAGGCTTGGCTGCAATCCTCATGGCCCTCGGGAACCCCTGCAGTGATTGCTTTTTGAATTAGAGTTCCAGGATTCTGAGCCCTTGTGTGCGCCTCCTTGGGATGTGCCTGGGTGCCCTCCCCACAGCCATCTTCTCCATCCTCTTCAGAGCTTTCAGCCTCTTGAGTGAGGGCAGGGGAGCTCCCTTCACATTCCAGTCCAGAGTGATCTGGTTGTAGTCACTCCTGTCGCAGAAGAACCCCTTAGACCGAAAACGTTGCTTTGAAGTGAACGGGCCCGGTTGTTTTTAATGCCACTTCAGTGCACCCAGAGTTTGACTTGTTTACATGGCCAACTGGAGTAGGGTGGTGGGGCAGGGGTTATGGCCTGGGGCGTGGGGCCTTTCTCTGAGGTCAGGTTTCCAACCGCCAGGAAAAGGATTATTTTCATCTAAACCCAGAAGCTTAAGGAAACACTCAAGGCTGCAAAGTCATAGATGGTTAAGATACCAAGGGTTTTAGGGAAGGTCTACTTGGGACGGGTAGAACTCAGTTACTCAGTTACCTCGGTGTTCTGGAGTGTAAAGGAGACCTTGACTCATCTCATTTGGATGCTTTTTTGGGGGGAAACAGTTTATGTGATGAGGAGGAGTTGGGAGACTTTGCTTCAAGTGTTGGGCTGTCACTTTCACCCGTGTGACCTTGAACAAATCCCTTTACCTCTATTTAAATTTCCTTATCTGTAAATTGGGAATCCAGGTCCCTGGCTTACCTCCTTCACTGACCATTTATGAAAAGCAGGAAATGATATTTTATTATTTTTCCCTTACAGTTTAACAAACCAAAATATCCTGCCACTTTTAGAAATTTCTGGTCAAGGGTTGTTCTGACAGAGGTTTCTAAGTTTCCTGGTTATTCTAAGCAATTGTCAAAATTGGTAACTGTACACCTCACAGGGGCTGTTTGTGGATTCTTAAGCTTAGATAAACTAGAATGGAATCTGCATGTTTGAGTACAATCTGCTAAGTTTTTTTTTTAAATCTGTTGATTATTAATTGGATTTACTGGGGGAGGCAAACTTAAAATACTGTACTCTCACTGTGTTCAAAGTTGAATTGCGGGTTTTGAAACAGGCCTGAGACCTTCAGGGCACAACTGGAATGGTAGTTTCTGAAATAATGAGTGGGGTTATTTGTGCTGGGAGAGATTAGCCCAGCCTTCTACCTCCTGGAATCTTTCAGGAAGAAACTGCTCTTGAAAAGAGAGGAGGGAGACTCAGGGCTGTTGCCAACAGCCTTCTTTGCTGCTCTCTGCATCCGGCCCTCCCCCAGCTTCTCACTCTCATCCTTATGGCTCCATTAGAAAACCTCAACCAATCGGTTCCCATCAGTCTCCCCCAAGCCCCTGCTTCCTGCCCCTCCCAGCCTTGAGCTTATTTTAGATGGTCAAAGCTGGAAGATACATCAGCCACCATTGAGGCCACCCTTGTTTAAGGGGAGAGGATACTGGGCCCAGGGAGGTGATGAGCGGCCTTGGCTGGCTTTTGCTCTTGAGATGTCATCTTCCCAGGAGCAGGCATTTCTCTGAGCTTTCTGGTTTGAGCTTTATTTCCTCAGCTGTGGGTTTTGTTTGTTTGTTTTTCCTCTAGAGAGGCACAGAAACCTCTTGCAGGGACTGTGTTAGGGCATCAGATCTGGAAGGGACTTGGAGATCAGCTAACACAACCACTTCCTCTTACTGATGAGAAGACTGAAACCCAGAGAAAGAAAGCAACTTGCCTAGTTCAGGGATGGAGCCAGGATTCTGAAGCAAATGTTATTTTCCCTGCTTCTGTGGCCATAAACACACGATGAGGACAATAATGTCAGGGATGGCTATGTTGCGGAGGGTGCCTTGGGAATGGTAGCTTGGAGCAGAGGAGTTCTTTGCCTTCTCCTCACGGGAATTCAGAGTGATCTGGGATAAGTGATAGGTGACTGTCCTTTATTACTTGTCCCAGGCCCCTGTTCACAGAGTGTCATTTATCTTCCAGTTTTCCTGTGCATTTCTCGGTGACATATGGACTCAAATATACAGTTAAACCTTTTTGTCCTGAACTGTGTGCATGTATTTGCTCTGTGACATATTTCTTGTTTTTTGCTTAACAGTATGTCTTGGCGTTCTTTTCATGGTGTTACATATGAATATGCCAGAACCATTTTGCATATTGGGCCTTTAGCAGTGTACTATAATTTAACCTATTCCCTTATTGATGGACATTAAAGTTACTTACAGGTTTTGATGTCATATACAGTGAATGTTTCTGCAAACAGCCTTATAAATGCTTTTGGGTATGTGTACGTGCAAGCACGAATGCAAGTATTTCTCTGGGGGCAGATACCTATAAATAGAATGGCTGGGTTGACATCAAGTGCATTACATTTTTTTCCAGATACCACGAAATTGCCTTCCAAAAAAGGCTGTGTCATAACATTTCCAGGTCTGGATATTATCAAATGATTTAATTCTCTAATAATTTTCCTAATTACTAGTGAGGTTGAGCTTCTTTTTATAGTATTTACTATTTTTGTTTCTTTTGTGGATTGCCTGTTCGTATTGCTTGCCCATTTTTCTGTGAGGTTAGTTTTTCCCCCAGTTGATTTGTAGGAGCTTTCTATAAGTGCTTTAGGTAAAGGGTCCGCAAACTTCTTTGGTAAAAGGCCAAATAGTAAATATAATTTAGTCTCTGTGGGCCATATGGCCTTTGTGACAACTGTGCAACTTTGCCGTCTCATCACAAAGGCAGCTGTAGACAACACATTAACGAATGAGTATGGCTGTGTTCCAGTAAAACTGTATTTACCAGCAGGGCGTGGTGGCTCATGCCTGTAATCCCAGCACTTAGGGAGGGTGAGGTGGGCGGATGACCTGAGGTCAGGAGTTCAAGACCAGCCTGGCCAACGTGGTGAAACTATCTGTACTACAAAAATTAGCCGGACCTGGTGGTACATGGCTATAATACCAGCTACTCAGGAGACTGAGGCACGAGAATTGCTTGAACCTGGTAGGCAGAGGTTGCAGTGAGCCAAGATTGTGCCACTGCACTGCAGCCTGGGCAACAAAGTGAAAACTCTTTCTAAAAATAATAATAATAAAAAATAAATAAATAACTTTATTTACAAAAAAGGGCAGCTAGCGTGATGTGGCCTGCGAGCCATAGTTTGCTGACCCAGCTCTAGATGTTAGTCCGATGCTTGCCGTATATTCCAGGTATTTTTTCCCAGACTGTCACTTGTCTTTTATGTGTGGTCATTTTTCTTTTTCATGATATGAATGCAGTTAAGTCTGTTTTCCCTTAGTTTGTGGTTTTAATGTCATATTTAAGGCCCATTTTCCAAGATTTGTAAAATAATTTCTCAGATTCTTTTATAGCTATTTTTATGCTTAGCTTTTTAATCTATCAGACTTGTTTTTTAGGAAAATAATTCTGGCTAAAGGCAGACGATCTACTGGAGGCTGTTAAAGTAGGTGAATTACAGTAAAGGCCTTCTCTCCAGATCAGTGCTGGTGAGGATGGAAGGAATCAGACACTAGGAACAGGATGTTGTTGGTTTATCAGAGGTCGGTGTTGAGGAACCTGGGGTAGTTAGAAGTGTACCTTTAACAGAGATTGAGAACAGATTTGGAGTAAATTGGGGGGATAGGGAAGGGTAAAAAATAATGTGGTAAGTTTGACCTTATGGAAGTAGAGGGAAGCTGGGTAGGAATTCTTGAGTCTTGGATGTGGAGGTGGTTGCTAAAATCATGGGAGTGAGTTCGAGCACTGAGGAGTCTGCATAGAGTGAAAGGAGAGGAACCAGCCTAGGGAGCCCCCATGTAGTGGGTGGGCAGAAAGGAAGCAGATGCAGAGGCCGGGAGGTGAATCAGAGGGGTGGGCGTTAGTGGGAGAAGCAGGTCTGGAACCCAGGGTGCTCAGCTTCCACATCCACGTGGGCTCTCAGTGGGTGTTGATCTGGAGGTGCTGTCTGATTCTCCTGCTGACTGTAACTTCAGGCATTACCTCTGTGAAAGGAGCCACTGCCGACAAGCCTCTTTCTAGTTCTTTGTGTAGCCCTGTTTTTTTGTGGGACCTTGGCTGGGTCATTTTCATTGCTCAGGCCTCTGTTTTCCCATCTGGAAATGAGCTTAGTCTTGATCTCTCCCAGGGTTCTTAGTCTTCCTGGTGTGATTCTGCCCTCACTATGCCCCACACCCCACTGCCAAGGCTGCAGGGGCCTCAGGGTAGGAATTTCAGACATAGAGGGTGTAGGCCAGGATGAGGTCTTAGGGAAGCATTTCATCAGGCTACCTTTGTTCCTGTGACATTAGTACAAGTTCTAAGGCATAGGATATCCTGATTTGACTTAACGTGTATCCCGGAGGCAATGGGGAGATTTCACGTTCCCCCTTGTAGAAGATCTGTAACATGGGTTGGTGTGTTGTTTGGCAGGGAGCTTGTCAAAAATCTCAGACACACAAAATCCTATTTCAAACTGCCAAGCACCAATTTTCAGCATCGTCATCAGCAAAACCCAAATAGAAACCACAGTGAGATACTACTTCATACCTGTCAGGATGGCTAGAATTATATATAACACGATGGTGAGGATGTGAAGAAGTTAAAACCCTTGTGTGTTGCTGGTGGGAATGAAATGGTATAGCTGGGCCGGGCACGGTGGCTCAAGCCTGTAATCCCAGCACTTTGGGAGGCCGAGGCGGGTGGATCACGAGGTCAAGAGATCGAGACCATCCTGGTCAACACGGTGAAACCCCGTCTCTACTAAAAATACAAAAAATTAGCTGGGCATGGTGGCACGTGCCTGTAATCCCAGCTACTCAGGAGGCTGAGGCAGGAGAATTGCCTGAACCCAGGAGGCGGAGGTTGCGGTGAGCCGAGATTGCGCCATTGCACTCCAGCCTGGGTAACAAGAGCGAAACACCATACCAAAAAAAAATCAAAAAAAAAAAAAAAAAAAAAAGAAATGGTATAGCTGCTGTGGAAACAGTTTGGGGGTTTCTCAAAAACTTTAGCATTGAACGTACCACATGAGCCAGCAATCCTACTCCTAGGTATATGCTCAGAAGAATTGAAGACAGGTATATTCAAACAAATACTTGTATGCAAATGTTCATAACAGTGCTACTCACAATAGCCAAAAGGTGGTAACAATTCAAGTCCATCCACTAATGAGTAAATAAGCAAATCATGGTGTATTTGTACCATGGAATATCATTCAGTTCTAAGAAGGAGTGAAGCACTGAGACATGCTACAACATGGACGAACCTAGAAAACACTGTGCTAAAGCAGGCATGAAAGGTCATGTGTCACATACTGTATGATTCCATTTATGTAAAATGTCCAAAACAGGTAAATCTGTAGAAACAGAAAGCAGATTGGTTGTTGCCAGAGGCTGAGGGTTGGATGGGCGATGCGAAATGACTGCTAATGAGATTGGAGTTCTATTTTGGGGGTGATGAAATGTTTTGGAACTAGATAAAAGTGCTGGTTACACAACATTGTGAAATGTACTAAACGCCACTGAATTATTCACTTCCAAGTGCTCCATGACTTCTGAGGGGACTTACGGTGGGGGTACATCCAGGTTAACCTATCAGACCTATCACAAACTCAAAATCCTAAGTCAGGGACTCTCTGTATAAGCATTTCTTTCTCACCTACACACCTGCCTTCTGCTCCTCGTGTCACCTAGAGTGAGTATCTGATTGTTTCTAGAGTCTAGACCAGGGATTGGCAATTTTTTTTTGAAGGACTCTTTTTTTTATCCTGGGGAACTCCTTCCCCAAGCCACTCTTTCCAACCTGAATGACACAACTGGACCAAGTCAGTGGCTTTCAAGCTTTCGTCAAATCCCGGAGTCTTTTACTCAAAAGAATTTTGTAAATATTTTAGGTTTTGCAGGCCAACAGGCAAAAATCGAGGAGGTTGTATAGGATATAGCCATTTAAAAATGTAAAAGCCATTCTTGGTTAGGGGGTCTTAGAAAAGCAGGTGGTGGGCCAGATTTGGCATAGAAACACAGTGTACCACCCCTCAGTTAGACCAGCCCTGTCCTCTGACGCTATTCTAGAAGCCAAATAGGAAATTTTAGATTTTCTAGTGGCTATGTTAAAAAAGTAAAAAGAGGTGAAATTGATTTTAATTATATTTTATTTAACCAGACATATCCAAAATACTATCATTTCACCATGTAAAAAAGTTATGATGCGCGCATTTTACCTTACAGCACATTTTAGCTCAGACCACTTTCCCACTGCTTAGTAACCCAGTGGCGTGGCTGCTGTCTGCAGTCCTGGCGGCAGTCCTGGGGTGGCACAGGTGGTGGTGAGTTTCTTCCCTCCCTCCCTCAGGCCCTGGGTTGGAAGGTTCCTGGAGTGCTGCTTCTCTAGGATATATTACTCCTGTTTGTGTCCCCACTTCTCCTTGGCCCTTGGTGTCTATTGCCAACTTTTTGAAGTTTCTTTGTTTGACTGTCACATCTTTGGTGGCTTCTTTTGGTGTGTTAGAAGCTCTGTTCGGGGCTCTGACCCTCACCCCCTGCCCAGAGGCAGAGTTTAGGGGCAAGAAGGGTGTTGGCCAGGGCTTCAGGACTGTCCCATGGGGAGCAGGTGAGGGCCTTGCGGGGCAGGCTGGTGTGTCCATGTGTCCCGCTCTAGATTGGATGTATGTTTCAGTGTTATGTAGTTGCACCCTTGCTTTTTTCCCTGGGTTCTAGCCTGTTAACGACCTTTTCCTCTGAGTTCTGTGTCCCTTGTCACACAGGACTATAGTCCAAGGCCTGTGTTCTCTTCTTGGCACAAACGTGCAGGGTGACCCAGGAAGGTGACTTATGTCTCCCACCTGTAAAGCATGTGCCTGCCTTGTGTTTGTAGGGAGAGGGTGGTGTGCTGATGGAATGGAAGAGTTCCCCTCCGCGGTGAGGGATGTTCCAGGAAGCACAGTGGCTGGGGAAGTAGCCTTTCTTTGGGCAACCTCATGATTAATAGGACCCTAATGCTCTTTAGCAGAAATAAAGCATTCAACTTGGAATGTTTAAGTTGTTCCCAAGCTGCCGCTTAGTCTTGAAAGAGGGAGAGAGCGTGGCAGCGCAGCACAGGGAAAGATCCTACTGCTGGACGTGGAGGATCATTGGGTGCTAATTTTGGAAGCATCTGACCTAAGAAAACAGGCTCTTCTTTTATCCTGGGAAACTCACTCCCCTAGCCGCTTTTTCCCAGCTGAATGACACAGTTGGACCAGGTGGCTAGTTTTCAAGCTTTCATCAAAAGCAGTGCGGCTCTGGGCAATGCGGTCCAAAGCCTGGAGCTGGGTCTGCCATCCTCGGGGGAGCCTTGGGTCATCTCTGGGGCCATATGGGGCAGGTTCAAACACTCTGTCCTAGATTTTGTGCTTTTTCCAGTTTTAGCAATTGAGACAGTCTCGAAGCTGCTTTGGGATGGAGCCCCCATGCCCTACCCAGCACTGAAGGCATTGTCACTTCCGTTTGGGGCAAGAGCACCTAGGGGGTTGATTCACTGGCATTTCATTTCTGGAAGCTGGAACTGGAATCTTCCAAACCACTCAGTGGTTTTCTCAGTCAGGGTCATCCTAGTTCACATGAAACCAGAGCCTGGTTTTTGCCTGGAGCCTGTAACCCTTCTGACTCCTTCCCCTTGGGCTCAGCTTGGCAGTTGGAAGCTGTGCTGGAGGTGGCCCTGGTGTCAGAGCTGCCTTCCAGCAAGACTATGAGCGGATGGGCCTGCTGGATCCTTTGAACCTCTGCCTACTATATTGTGTCATATCCTGTGGTTTCACATAGGCCTTAGCAGGCAAGGGTGGCCAGCAGGGCTGGTGGCAGCAAGGCCTCCCTCAGAGAGGGGGACACTGAATTTTCAGAGAGGTTGAGCGGCCCGTCCAAGGTCACTGAGCTGCTCAGCAGTGGGGCTGTGATGCAGAGCTCAGCTCCCGTGCCAGCATCTACCCTGGCTCCAGACTCATCATCCTCCCTGTCCTTGGGAAGGCCACTTTGCTTTGTAAATGCTGTAGTGTTTTTGTTTGGCTTGGGATGTATGGGTGGTAGGGAAATTCTTCATATATTGCAATATTGCAGAATAAATCACAGCTGTTTAATGGACTTCTAGTTCCTAGCCCTGGGGAAAGGGACCTGCTGGGGCTGTCTGTACCCACCCTCTCCTCCTTTCCCCCATGTTATGCAGGTGAGAAATTGTCTCCAGTTAGCAGATGGAGCCGCTGAGACCTGGAGAGGTTCAGCAGCCTGCCTAGGTCACAGGAAGGCCAACGTGTTTTTTTTTCTGAAGTCCTATTTGGCCACCTTGTTTCTGATAAGTGTTAACCTTTGCTATCAGGAACAGGGCCTTGCCCCAACTTGGACTCCTTAGTTCTTGGGTGTGTGGTGGGGCATGTGTGTGAATGGTGCAGGCTGTTGCTCAGGGCGTTGCCCAGGTCTTCACCTCTCCTCAACTTCGGGGTGCCCCACATCCCCAACATGGGCTACTGGCCTAGGCAGCAACCACACCTTTGGCACAGCTCTGAACAGGAAGCACAATGTTTTCCTTGTGAAAGAGGAATTCAGAATCAGGAAATAGCTTTGCCCTTGATCTCTGTAGGTTCTGAGGCACTGGTTTTAACAGACCCACAAGCACCCATGGTGCATTTTCCACACAAGGTTTCTGACCTTCTCGTGGTCCTGCCCATAGCTAAAGGAACCAAGGGAAGGGGGAGCAGCTGCAGGGAGCCCCAGCTGAGCCAGAGAAAGGGGCCATGTCTCCTGGGTCTCCTGATGCCACACCCAGAGCCTTACTGTCAGGACTAAGTGAGCGGCTTGGGGCTCAGGAGCCTCAGGGCCTGGCAGAGCAGGGAGTCGGGGCATTTGTATGGCTTCTGCTTGGGGACCTGCTCTGACCTAGAAATCTGACACAGTCCCACTTTTCATTTCAGTGTGCCCAGGCAAGGGAATTGGAATGGTGGTGAGCCAGATTTGAGTTTCCATTCTTGCTCCATTTTCCATGCTGATGGGTGCAGGTTACTTAGAGCTAAAGCATCTGTGCCCCTCGTCTGAAAACTGGGGGGTTATAATAATAGTGCCCATGGCTTTGAGTCCTGATGAGGATAGTGGAAGATGCTTGCAAAGCCCTCAGCAACCGCAAGATTGCTGTGGCAAGGGCTGAGTTTGTAAATATTGGGTTACATGGTAGGTGCTTAGTAAATGGGATCTGTTTTATCAGCCATAAACCATGCAGTATGGAGCCGTGTGTGGGACATGGATCCTGGCCTTGGGAAGCTCTCACTTAGCATGCTGGCCCATCTGCTCTTGAATGTCCACCATGGGCCAGACACTGGGCAGGATGGGGCAGGGGCAGTGCAGGGAGTGCTGGGTCCCGATCCCTCTTAGGTTACTGCTGAGAAAACAGCCCAGGGAGGGGACCTTTCACTGTGATTTTGTGGGTGAGCTGGCCTTCAAACCTGTTTCTGTCTGTCCCATGGCCATTAAACAGAAGCTCAGGCTGTCCCCTCTCCCACTGAGCTGCTCTGCACCACCCTAGCAGCTTCCCCATGTCAGCACCTTGAGGATTGGAAGGACAGAGTCGGTTTGCCTTGTGTGTGTTTGATTTTTCAGAATGTGTAAGTACAGTAAGTCCTCACTTATCGTCGTTGATAGGCTCTTGGAAACTGCTACTTTAAGCAAAACAACATACAACCAAACCAATTTTATCATAAGCTTATTGACATAAACAGGATTTAAGTTTTTACAGTGTATTTCTGGTTACAAAAAAAAATAACCAAACTTCTAAATAAAGATCCAAAATACTTCTGATATTAAACATAGAAATACATGTGAGCTATTATATACATTTCAGAAAGATGAATAAAAACAAGTAAGATCATTATTTATCCAAGTTTTGGTGAATCAATGAGTGATGACAGTTATGATGGTGGGTTAAATCAAGGAATAAATGTCTGCAAAGTGAAAATTATAAGGCACACCGCCTATCGTAACCAGGAAGTTCAAAAACAAGAACAAAAGCAGCGAGTCCGCTGGGTGCTTCTTACTGCGTAGTTTATTGTTATGTATTTGTATGATTATTGTAGACTTGATGAATTTTTAGTTAACAGTTACCTGTATTCATTTATTCATTTTCCAGCTCACTTATTCCAGTTCAACGTCATAGGTGTCTGGAACCTCTCCCAAGGGCACAAAGCCTGGACAGGATGCTGTCCCATCGAAGGACACCCTCTCACCCACACCTGCTGACTGAGACCATTTAGATGTGCCATTTCACAGCTAAGAATGTGCACATCTCTGAG